CAACTGTATAGCTAATTGATGGAAAGAAGGGAATGACAACTGCATTTTTATAATCTCCTAAAACAAGAGTGTGCCTTTTAGTGTGTTGAGATGAGAATTTTTTAACTGCTTAATTAATAATATTGGATGAAAAGCCCTGCCTTCATGTCATCCGTATAAACAAAAGTTAGCTTTAATTTATTCCTGTTTTCCGTGCTCTTCAAGTTTGCTCCTCCAAACTATCGCTTGATGATGAACTAAATTATTTAAAAGCAATAGCTATTGACAGGGCCATTTCCCGCAACATTATTAATCAAGCAGTTAAAAAATTCTCATCTCAACTACTAAAAGGTACACTCTTGTTTTAGGAGATTATAAAAATTCTGTTTTCATTCCATCAATTAGCTAAAGTTGGGCATATTTTGCAGAAATTTATCTTTTGGGTCGTTTATTTTCCCATCAATAAAATTCCGAGTTCCATACTCAAGGACCTCATTCCGGATATGAATTCCTGGGGTATTTATAGGATTCATTGCCATTGTTGGTTTAATTTACATTGGCCAAACTAAGAGAGCCGTAAAATTTCCTGTCAAGGAATATGAGGCATATGTTAGAAAAAAGGAAACACGGAAGTCTTCTGTTGCTCAAATTCTGTTGCTCAGCTTGAATTATCTCAATGACTCTGTTTTCAGCTTCTAAAATTTCTTGAGTCGAGGTGGCCATTCTTCCGTGCATGTTTTGAGATGCGACAGTTTTTAAAAACTTAATCTAGACAATGTGATTATCAATTTTGCTATAATCTGAAAAATAACAGTTTTACGAAATGTACAGGCACGGTAAGATGGCTTCACTGCAAAGCAGTTTTAAGGTTGCCATAAAATAGCAAGGGAAGGAAGGGTTGCCACATTTGGTGACAAAACTGGCGATATACCATGGACGGGTGAAGAATCTTTTGGAACGAATTCTTACCGGTTTAGCCCAGAATGTTCTCGAACACAAGCCGAAAGCTATACACACACAAGCCCTGCTGGTCCACAGTCAGTGGGTGTGCCTCGTCGAGAGGGCGAGTCAGAGAGTGCCTCACATACAGTGTGAAATAGGTTATCAGTCCACGCAGAGTTGATCGATTTGACAGCCGGCCAGCGAGTGCCAAGTGGGTCGTCGAGTGCATTGAAGAGTCTCTTAGCGCATCGCATTTAGTGCATCGTCAAGAGAATATGTTAAGCTCCGGGAACGACTGAACCGAAGAGTCGGGAGCTGTGCTCTGTGTGTCGTCGAGTGCAGCGCAAGTTGCACGTGGTCTCGAGAGTACGTGGAGTTCCGAGAATGACGAAGCAGAGTCGGGAGCTGCGCTCTGGTGCTTTGCAGTGAAGCTGTCTCCACCATTATTGCCTGACAGTGTGAAGGCTGAGTCGCTGAACATGTCAGCATTTTTATAACAGTTTGACGACTGTAAAAGTGATTTTGGAGCTATCTGATTAATATTGGTAAATCAAGTGTGTTTTGATACTTTATCAAGTGTCGTCGTTATACACTCCAAATCTACGAACCCTATACGAACGTGAAGGGAGAAAATAACATAACAACTGGTGTCAGGAAAAAAAAAACGTAACAATAGTAATACCAACTATTGGTATTTACTATATGAATTTGCTGTCATCATACAATTTGTAACTGATGATGAGGTCATAGACCTCTTTCACTCTAGCAATTTCTTCGTGCATATCAAAATTGCATTTGATAATTTTCATGACAGAAATATAAGCAGTGGGACCCTTCCCACTATTCCAATTTTAGCAAATATTATGTTGAACAACCTCTACTAGGTAAATTAACTGGGTTTCTTATACCAGGTATATGATTCCAAGTCTCCCTGACAATTAAATCTCTGATTTCTTTAACTCGAATTTATTCTGAATACGAAAATTCCCCATGCTTCTTCTCTAGTGATTCATGCTGAAATGATAGAAGAGTGTGTTCAAAGACAAAGTTCATCGTATTTTAGTTCAGCTAGCACAGAAACTGACAGAAGAGACATAATAGTGACAGCAAGTAATTCAAATCTTGCACTGATACATCTTTTCCTGCAGGGACAACTCAGCTTCTGGCACATAAATTATTGCTCTGGCCTTGTGCCTTGTGTTATTACTACCTAAAGACCACCATCAATGTTTGCACAATTACATTTGGAGATACCAACACATTGCCAAGCATTTGATCATTTTTTAGAGTACTAGTATATCTTTTTTAGGAAGATTAACAAATGGTTTGGGGCAAATACTTCCCATATAGCAAAATATGATGTATCTTACCACAACATAAGCATCTAACCTTCAAATTACACTGGTAGACAAAGAAACATCAGCGAGATTTTTCTACAAAATTCTTTCTTTTAGTGCCATCTTTCTAATTCTAATAGTCTTTAGAACCGTGAAAGTCTGAACAAAATATGCATTGTTTCTGTCATGGGGAAGTTAAAAGAGCAGCTGCACTTAGAACCTGCACAGCATTCCCATATTTGAGTTTATTACCAGTTTTTGTTACTGTTGTCGTATACAAATTATGTGGAACAATGGTTGGCAAAGCCTACTCCAAAAAAGGTCGGACTTCTAATTTTCCACCTCAATTTTGAGGGACAGCATCCCATGGAATATCCGGGGATCTCTCTCCTTTCTCCCCTTCTACCAAACCACACAACAGGACTTTCAGCTTGCCATATATTAAGAGTGTCCCCATGCCGCAAAGACACTATACATTTACAAGCATTCATGTCTTTTCCATGTCTACCTTTTGATATATAGATGCAATTTAAATCTTATGTCACAATACATTACATATATATGTATGTATGTATATATATAGAATTTTATGTGGTACATGTGGTACAGAAATAGTTTCAGCATATTTAAAGTGATATCACGAGAAACAATTACATGCTCCACATGCAAAAAGGGAAAAAAAGATTATTATATTGTTGCATTCTATAGGTTCACAGATTTGGAGTGATTTATGATAACACTTGATAAAAAAATCAAAACACAATTTATTCGTCAGTATTACACAGCAGAATTCAAATAGCACCTTTACAGTCATTGAAAACCTACGATAAATACGTTGAAAGAATCAGCAACACAGCCTTCAGGCTATCAGGCTATAACAGTGAAGATAGCTTCACAGCAAAACACTAAAGTACAGCTCCCGACTCAGAGCTCAAGGCACTACTACTGAACTCAATGTACTCTCGATACTCTCCACGATACACTCCTACTCTGCATACAAGCAAGTTTTATATAGTTTTTGACCTGCCTTCGGGAACATACTGAGGTAAACCAGTAAGAATTCCTTCTAGAATGTTCTCTCTTCATCTATGGCATATCGCTAATTTTGTCACCAAATAGGCGATTTCGTGTCAAACATCTGGCAACACATCCAGGAAAACAGTTTATTCATCAGTATTAGACAGGAGAGCTCCATTTACAGTTGTTGAAAAACTACAATAAACATGCTGAAACAATCAGCAACACAGCCTCAAACTATAATGGTGAAGACAGCTTCACGGCAAAACACTAAAGTGCAGCTCCTGACTCTGAGCTCAAGACACTACTACTGAACTCGAGTACTCTCGATACCCTCTCTGATACACTTCTACTCTCCGTAAAAGTAGTATTTATATAGCTTTTGGCCTGTCTTCGAGAACACTCTGGGGTAAACTGGTAAGAATTTGTTCTAGAATGTTCTCGCTTTGTCTACGGCATATCATCGATTCTGTCACCAAACTGGTGATTTTGTGCCAAATCTGGCAACCCAGCCAAGCGGGTTTAGGGTTGCCAGAAAACTTAAAGCTATCTTACCGCAGCTGGGCACTTTGCAACAATATATTAGAGAACTTGGAATGGATACATCTTGCATTTACATGTCAGTTCATAACAAAATGTCAACTGACTCTATAGCAATACGTATGATGTACCTGTCTTACCTAATTACAGAGAAGAGGAAAGGGTTTAAACATAATATAACAATTTTTGCATCAGTTGATATCACAAAGGGGGAAAACTTAAATATCATAACTATCTAAACAGTTACATACCTTTTTCTTCCTTTACTTTTAAAATCTTTTGTGTTTCAGAAATTACCTTTGTCACTAAGGATGTTCTAACCATATTTCTTTGCAACTTAAACATAAACACTACACTTTTAATTTATTGATAATTCTTTTATATTCTTAAGCTGTTTAAACTGCTATACAATTCTTTCCCACATTGGAACTGCAGACAGTGTAATGGTCGCCCAGATGGTACAGTGGATAGGGAAGCATACTGCGATACCGAAGGACCCGGGTTCGAATCCCGGAGAAGACATAGATGTTTTTAAATGCATAGTGTCTGTGCGTCATGGGGGCACTCCAAATGTGCGGCAAGCTGAAAATCCTCTCGCATGCTTTAATGGAAGGGAAAAGGGGTTAGAAGACCCCCGGACCACCACCCCAGGGTGCTCTACCTCGAAATTGGGATAGTAAACAGAAGTCCAGCCTCTTTTTGGAGCAGGCTCCGGCAACTAATCTTCCATGTAATATGAACATAACAGCAACTGCACTGCTTAAAAAGAACTTGGAACAAAATTTGCTTTTTGCTAAAAATTCTTCCCAAGCAGCACCACGCCAAAAAAATAAAAAGCAGTATTGATAGATAACAGAAGATAAATCTCACATGAGAAAGTAAGATGCTAAAATCTGTTACTAACTCTAAATTAAACATTAGGAGTTCTACAGAATCCCGCCCTTGAGTATTTTGACATATGAGCTCAGAAAATAGAATTTCTAACCATTACATTAAAAGTTAGTGTTTAAAAAAATCTGGGAAAAAAGGCATCTTAAATTTGCAGAATTAGAAAAAATAAAACTGAAATATAAAAAATTATGACAAGTAAGATCATCAATAAATCAGCAAACAAATCAATAAATAACAATGAAATGCATATTGAGTGTACATTTAAAAAATATAAAATATGGAACATACACATACCGATACCCGGAACAGCTTTTCAATCTTTTTGTACATTACAGTTTTTTTCTTTACTTTATCAAGTGCACTCTCTTCCACAGCGTAAAATTTCTCTTTACCTTCAAATGGAAACATTCTTCGTGCAACAGTCCATCCTCTCATTGCTGCCTTCCCGAAATACTGAACATGGTAAAGAGTTTTTTCCTTTCCATTTTTCCCTAGTGAATGAAAACCAATTTTAAAACACACAATATACATTTATCATCACTAGCTCATGAGTTACGTTTTGCATAGGACATGGGTAAAATTGCAATGTTAATAAGCATACATTTTAAATATTTTGAATCCTCTCAATATGACCACCTATGAGAATAAACAATATTTCTAACATAAATAACTACAGGTTTTGGTAATTATAAAATAAGAGGTCCCCAAAGTCTTTACCCCAATTCAAAGTGTTATAGACTGAAAACACATTTGAAAGAAATGCCTACAGTTCAAAAGACAATGTGTTCAAATTTAATTTGGCAATGAAGATTTTTTAACAATAAAATTCCTCAATGCTGGACTGGCTGAAATAGGCCTAGAGATTCAGCACTTCACCTTTAGGCAGCTCATTCCTCTGATGTCACAGTATGCAGGTTCTTTTAGCGATTGTTCATAAATAATTTTGTGCAAATGGCTCCTCTTCTGAATACTTTGGATTGAAGACGCACATTATACCAGCAGTAAATTATGTGATGGTAGACATGCTACATAAGATATGCGAAGAGTTTGACTATGGACTTTGTGTGTGCTGTGCAATTGCAAGACTACACTGAACATTTGTAAAAATTTCATTCAAAATTTGATATCCCAATGACCAATTTTCCTTTCAAAATAAATTTGTTTCATTATTTAAAGTCAATACAGTGCTTAAAATGTGATGAAGAAGAGCAACCTGCATTTTCTAAGATTTGATAACCTGACCAAAGCCAAATATATGTTGTGGAAAATATTACGGTCATAGCAACAACTGATTTCTGATGGCAGTTTACAACTGATTTCTAACTCCTTTTTAACTGATGAATCACTTAATGCATACCACCAGTAATGTGGTGATTTAGAATTGATTATAATATTTACCCTATTAAATTTTGAATCTGTATTTCTTTACAGAGTTTCAGAAGATATTGTCTTACTGTAACAGACCAACCTATAAATCATCATCATGATCAGTACAAAAAATATTTTTGGCTCAATCAGTAGAACCACAATTTTAAAATTGTGGCAAAATATTTTAGCAAATTTACATAATTGTGGTGGTTTTGATTTTTCCCCCTCTACTGCAGTTTCGTGCAATACTTTTTTAGATTATAGCAGTCGGCAGCAAACTTTTTTTTAAATTATCATTATGTGAAATAGCAAAAATACAACTGAAGCAATTCAGAAATTGAATTTTCTTTATTTCACTTCTGCTTAACAATAAGAGAAATCCAACATTTGTCTTGAAGCAATTACAAATCTAATATAAACTTACTTAAATTTATGAAATAGATTTGTCATATTTATCTATAAGTATTTGCCCGTTACTCAACACTAGCTTCCACAGTACGTAAAATAAGCATAAATAGCTCTTTACATTATTCATAAATTCAATTATGAAAGAGGTTTCAATCAAATGAACTAGCTTCTTGCGTTCTTGTAAATTTTAGCTTACAATATAAAAAATAGCAGTCAACATGGTAAAACTTAAGCATACTTACCAACCAACGACACTCTAAAATCAAGAGATATTTTAAAGAAATCAGGAGAAATTTTCTCAATGACAAAAAGATTTTTAAATCATAAAAATAGAAAATATATTTCTTAATAATGAATTAACTTTAAATATTAACTAATTAATACCTGAAAGTTCAGTTACTTTTTCTTAAATGCACATAATGCAAAAATACTTATAAAAAATCGTTTTATTAATTGTACCTTCTGATAGCAGAAAATTTCTCTAATCATTAAATAACACTTTAACTAGATCAGTAATCACCAACTGCAAAACATGAATTCATGAAATTATGCACTGTAGAATTAGATCAAGTATTATTAGGTTAAGTATTATTGGGTTAGGCATTAGAATTAAGAACATCGAATGATGACAAAACAGTGGGGGGGAAAGAAAAAGAAAAAAACTTGCTAAGGCCTAAAGACAAATTATTCGTTTTTCACAAGATAAACTTGCAATAATCAAAAAATGTGTCACTTGCCAAGCATTTTTCTTATTTTGGGAGAGCTTACATTTTGACATTACATTTGACACTTACATTTTGTACCAGTATTTTGAGAATTGCCAGTTAAATTTTTCGCAGATGCAGAAATTACTCAATTTTTCTCAAATAATTTTCCGATTATTGTAAATTACTTTTAACAGCAGATCTAATTTGCAATAATCGGAAAATGTATCCTTTGTCAAGAGACTCTTTT